ACTATTGGAAGAGAGCTAAACTGGATGATGACATCACTGAATCATCAATGAATTGACTTTAACTGAAAAAAAATGACTATTTTCTATTGTCCTCTTGCATTATTGACAAACTATTTTCCTGTTTGACACTGTAAAGCTGCTTTGACATAATCTGTATTGTATAAAGTGTTAAATAAATAAAGGTGACTTGACTTGACAGGTAAGTTCCACACACCATAACAACTTTTTATAGGCTATGTGAGGAATAACCAGGAAAAGCCCATTGTCACACTCTTCACCAGTCTAGTTGAATGAAAAAGGCTGTAGTTTACAATAAAGTATGCTGTTGTTTTTTATTAGGAGTAAATAAGTTATGTTATATGTAGCATAACTACATTTCAACATTACAAGTTTAAAGATAGTTAATTGTAAATTGAACTAGACTATAGAAGACTATTATTATATTATTATTACTATATTATGTAGTAGAATACAGTTTACATTGGACCATATTATGGTCACTTTATAATTCCTATTTATTCTGCTAGCTTTACCATTGTGGTTGTGGCTTGTTTAATGTAAATTAAAATACATGCATGGATAAATCTTACTGCCATTAATTATATAATTATAGTAATTACATCACCATTACACCACTAAAAAACATTTACCTGGTTTAGTGCCACATTGACCACTGTAGAGTCGGTGTTGCAGGTGGCTTTGCAGGCAAATCCTGAGATAAAGATGGAAATGATAAACTGGAGGATGGAGAACACCAGCAATATTCCAGTGATCCCCATATTTTTGCTCAAAAAAAAAAAAAAGGAAATTCAACATTCCCATATGAAAACAGTTTAGCGAATAATATCGCAGCAATTATACTGAGTGAATTTCTCAATATTATTACATTACTAGGAGGCATCATATGGCTTTCAAACTCTTGGAACATATCTGGTGCACAAGTCACATGGACTATTTTTTTTCTTGTTTTTTTGATACTTTAGCTGTGCTTTTATGTCATTTTGAAGGATATTTCCAGTCCATAGTCATTATAATTGTATGGAAAAGAGTGACCAGCACAATCTCTATTAGTAAAATTAGTAAGTGATGACACAATTGTCATTTTGGATTGAACTATTCATTTAACCAAATAAAACAGCAATTAAAAACTAAAAACAAATTTAAACAGATCATATTAATATATTGCAAATTGTACATTTAGTACCTTCAATTTTGAACAAATGACAGTGTCAGTATGATTGTAGTTATAGTCGTAGTTATAGGAGCATCTTCGATAGGGCATTGAAATGTGAAATGTGATCTCTATGGCCATCAGAGTAATGGCGATCGCTGCAGTTATGGCACTGATCACATTCATTCCAAGAGAGGCTTTCACCTACAGGAAGAAAGGTTGATGCTTAAAAGGTGACATATAGTTATAATAATGGTGTACACATGTAAAATGGCTTGAAAACTGAAAATGAGTCAGATGTTCTTTTAGTCCACATCCTTTTAGTGGTAAAAGGGTCTCGTGTTTCAGACTACTGTGGTAAAAGAGAGTTTATCATGGAAAGTTTTGTGGTTGCATTTTATTCTGTTTACGCAAATGTATTAGGGTGACTAAAATCTCCCTTAAGATTTTTTTTATTTTTTTTTTTTATTACTCATCCCAAAATATATGTTGATCAAAAAAATATTTATTTTTTCTTGAATACTGGAGCATCTTTTTTTTAAATATAGTTCTCATGTAAATACAAGTTACATAAAAAGCTGTTGTTCTTGTTCGTTTTAATTCAAAATTATGTAAATATTAAGGCAGCGAAATTTATGTATAGGAAAATTGTGTTGATTTTGTTGCTATTTGGTTTTTAAGAGTTTGAGAATAAAATCACAAAGTCCTTTTACCCCGTAGCCCCACTGTACCCTACTTTTCAGCACTTTATATATACATACCACACACAGATGAAGTTTTTTCTGAGCGGCAACAGACAGAGAGCCAGCACTGATGTACTGAGAAAGACACACAGGACATGTTAAAGTTCATTCTGGAAATTAGAATAAGAAGCTAGAAAGCAAAGCCGTGAAAAAGAAACTTACAATAAGGGATCCCCAGTAGGTGATGCCACTAAAGATAAAAATGGGTGGCTCATAGGTATTGATACTAGTGGTGCATACAATACCAAACAAGAAAATCACCACTCCAATCATTATCTGGACAGTCTAGACAGGGCAGATATGGATTAAATGTTTATTCATTTTTTATTTATTTATATTTTTCCATAATGGTATATCATTAATGTTTGAAAACACACACACACACACACACACACACACACAAAGGAAAGCTACAGTAATGTTTTATGCACTACAGCCTTAAAGCAATCAGAATGGCACACATATATTCACTTCAGGACATATGACAACACAGTTTTATTTTTTGTTCATTTTATCACACAAGATAATATGGCACTAAAATATTCCCAAAACAATTTAAAATTATAATTCATCATTACCCCTAGTGCCTTTGGTTGTGCTTTGAAAAACCCTTTAAGAGCAGTATTGTGGTATGCTCCTCTGGCCTGCTGTTCGTCATCACAAATAACATTATCTTGTTTCACCTGTGGATTTACTTGGATGATAACTGTAGCTTTGTCAGTTGACATGAACTTGCTGCTTTCCATTCTTGGCAAAGTTTTCACCTGCAATTAAAAGGAAAGTTCACCAAAAATAAAAATCCTATCATTGCTTACTCACTCTCAAGTTGTTCCAAATCTGTATAGGTTTCTTTCATCTGTTAACCACAAAAGAAGAATTATTTGAAGAATGATGTTAACCAAACCTTTGACAGTAGCTACTGAAAATAAAAATTATGCAAATCAATGGCTACCAGCTACTGTTTTGTTACCAACATTCTTCAAAAATCTTCTTTTGTGTTCCACAGAAGAAAGAAATGTATACACCTTTGGAACAACATGAAGGTGAGTATATGAAAGAATTTTCATTTTTGGGTAAATTATTCCTTTAAGCCTTAAGCATTAAAATTCACAAATTGTCTACTCTGAACAGTACATCTGCATTTATATTTACAGCATTGTCTTGATTGATAAAACTGTGATACTGCCAGTGTTTCTAAAACAAGAAAATTACAAAGGCTTTGTTAGATTGCACTGTCATAAAAAGTAAAGGTAGAACAAATGCACAGCTAAAAATGTTATCACTGTAATGTATACTCATATAATACCTTGATTAAACACTTAAGATAAAAGTATAGAGAAGTTTTGACAAGGATCCAAAAAAAAAAAAAAAAAATACTTACTTTCAGACCATCAAAGTTGTAGATATTTTTTCTTAATTGGAACAGATTTGGAGAAATGTAACATTATATCACATGTTCACCAATGGCTCCTCTGCAGTGAATGGGTGCCGTCAGAATGAGAGTCCAAACAG